GGGAATCCAGCGACATAGCCATTATGCTAACTGCTGGTCCCCCCAGTCATAAGATTTTTATAAGAAGCTTTTTAGTACTTATTCTTAAAAAGAATTATTTATTTAATTTTATTCATTTATTCATTTTATTTTAATTTGACCAGAGAGAGACACAGAGAGAGAAAGAGGGAAAGTGAAAAAGCAAGCCACCAGGTCTAGGACTTGAACTATGGTCAGCCATGTGAGAGTATCCAGCTCCTTAACCACCATGCCACCAGCTGGTTTCACTGTTTATTATTTTTTTAAGTAATTTTTTTTTAGAGGTTTTTGCCTTAGTGTCACGTGCGCTTGCTGGAGAGAGACAGAGACAGTGAGAGTGAAAGTGAGAAATCAACCCCCGGTGGGGGTGGGGGAGATGGCCATACCGCAATCCCTTCTCCACTGTCCTCCCGGGACCTTGCGTACACACGCACACACACCTGGTGTGATTTTCGAGTCACTGGGTCCAGGACTTGAACTACAGTTGCCACAGGGGAGTCCAGCAACATAACCGCTACACCATATGCTGGCCCCAAAACTTTTTTTTATAACCTTCCAATTTTTTATTACTCTAAAAAGCTTCACTTTTTTTTTTTTTTTTGAGAGGTTTTTGCTATAGGAAGCGTGCGCTCGCCAGACAGAGAGAGACAGAGAGACAGAAAGCGAGAAATCACCCCCCAGGGGGGATGGTCACGCCGCAATCCCTTCTCCATTCTCCTCTCGGGATCTTGGGCACGCACGCACACGCTCCCAGTGTGAGTTTTGAGCCACTGGGTCCGGGATGTGACCCGCAGTCGACTACATGGGAGTTCAGCAACATAGCCAGTACGCTAACTGCTGATTCCCTAAATTTAGCTTTCTTTTTTTTTTTTTTTGAGAGGTTTTTGCTATAGGAAGCGTGCGCTCGCCAGACAGAGAGAGACAGAGAGACAGAAAGCGAGAAATCACCCCCCAGGGGGGATGGTCACGCCGCAATCCCTTCTCCATTCTCCTCTCGGGATCTTGGGCACGCACGCACACGCTCCCAGTGTGAGTTTTGAGCCACTGGGTCCGGGATGTGACCCGCAGTCGACTACATGGGAGTTCAGCAACATAGCCATTACGCTAACTGCTGATTCCCTAAATTTAGCTTTCTGACTCTGTGCTTGTGACTTCAACACTTTGGCGATGATTTTTCTGCTCCTCAAGGACAGCTCGCTTGACCCGGTCGCTGACACATTCGTGCATACAGAGCCCCCAAGTCCTGCTACCAAGCTCCCTCATTTTAGACAGCCTCATAAGGACTTTTAGTCCCACAGCACAAACCCCGCCACGTTGGCCTGGGCACACGCCACTTGTAGAATCTGGTGTTTTCCCAGCCATCTCGGTATAAAGGTAAATGATCCTATTACCAGGGGTTCGAACAACCTAGTTGTGTGGGAGGCTGTGTGGTAGGAAAGCTGACGCTGCTATGTCAAATGCTGGACCATTCTGAGTGCCTCTAGACACTATCCCTGGAGGAGGGAAAAAAACACAAGACACTTTTTTTATAGAGAGATTTTTGCTATAGAGTGGGTGCACTCACCAGAGACACACAGAGAGAGACAAGAGAGACAGAGACAGAAAGCAAGAAATCATCCCTAGAGGAGATGGCCACACTGCAACCCCTTCTCTTCCATTCTTCTCTCGGATTGTGGGCACGCGCACACACACACGTCTGGTGTGAGGTTTTTTTTTGGAGAGTTTTTTTTGCTATAGGGCATGTGCGCTCGCCAGACGGACAGAGAGAGACAGAGAGACAGAAAGTGAGAAATCACCCCCCAGGGGGGATGACCACGCTGCAATCCCTTCTCCTCCATTCTCCTCTTGGGATCTTGGGTATGCACGCACACGCGCCTGGCATGAGTTTAAGCCACCGGGTCCAGGACTTGAACCACAGTCGACTACGTGGGAGTCCAGCAACATAGCCATTACGCTAACTGCTGGTCCCCTGGTGTGAGTTTTAAGCCACTGGGTCTGGGACTTGAACCATGGTCGATGATGTGGGAGTCCAGCGAAGTAAGCATTACACCATCTGCTGGTCCCACAAGATACTTTTAAAAGTATATATATTTAATTCTTTTTGTAATTATTTATTTTGTTTTATTTACTATCACCATTCTTCAATTTGGTCAGAGAGAAAGAGGGAGAGTGAGAAAGCAAGCTGCCAGGTCCAGGACTTGAACAATAGTCAGCCATGCGAGAATCCAGTGCTTTAACCACCATGCCACCTGTAGGTCCCCCACAAGATACTTTTTAAAAGTTAATTTCTGGGACCAGCAGGTGGCATGGTGGTTAAGGGTGCTGGGCTCCTACATGGCTGACCATGGTTTGAGTCCCAGACCTGGTGGCTTGCTTTCTCACTTTCCTTCTCTCTTTCTGTCTTGCTCTGGTCACATTAAAAAATAATAATAAATAAAGGTAAATATAATAATTCTTTTTTTAGTAATTGCTTTTTAATTTACTTTATTTATTTATTCATTTATTCTTTTTTTTTTTTTTTGAGAGAGATTTTTGTTATAGGGTGCGTGCGCTCGCCAGACAGACAGAGACATAGAGACAGAAAGCGAGAAATCACCCCCCAGGGGGGATGGTCACGCCGCAATCCCTTCTCCTCCATTCTCCTCTCAGGATCTTGGGCACGCATGCACACGCGCCCAGCGTGAGTTTTAAGCCACAGGGTCCAGGACGCGAACCGCGGTCGACTACATGGGAGTCCAGCAACATAGCCATTACGCCAACTGCTGGTTCCCATATTCATTTATTCTTAATTTGAGCAGAGAAAGACACACAGAGAGAGAGAGAGAGAGGGAAACTGAGAAAGCAAGCCACCAGGTCTAGGACTCGAACCGTGATTGGCCATGTGGGAGTGTCCAGCACCTTAACCACCACGCCACCTGCTGGTCCCTATAGTAATTCTTAAAAAAAAAAAAAGTTACTTTCTTCTGTGGGAGAAAGAGACAGACAGGTGGACAGATAGCTACCCCCACAGGGTCTTTATGCTGCAGCCTACCCCCAGCCTCAGCCAGGCCGGGTCACAGGAATGCGGCAGCCACACCTAGTATGTACAGGGGGCCTTGGGACTCCAACCAGGACCTTCCCATGTGGCTCCACTGTGTGTACTATACCACCAATTGGCCCCGTACAGAATGTTTTTGTTAATATCTATTTAATTTTAGTTTTTAAATTTGATACAGGCACTTACCAGAGACAGAGAAAGTGAAGCAAGCTCCCAGGTCTGGGACTAAAACTACGGTGGGCCATGTGGGGGTCTGGCACCTTAACCACCGTGCCACCTGCTGGTCCCCCGTACAGAATGTTGACGTGCAGTGTCTCACAGATACAGGACATGCCGTGAATCTGTCCCTCCCTTTCTATCAGTGTGCTTCTGCACCTCTTTGCCAAACCTCACTTGATAATGGCAATGATCTAAATGGGTGGCCCCTCCTGAAGGTGTGATCTGGAACCAAGGCTAGTTCTGGCTCGGGCAGCTTCCTTGGCGAACAGCCTGTCTGAACCACCCTTATTCTGAGAGGGCCCCCACTCAGAGTCCCACTGAGTGGGGCTTGGAGGGGCGAACCCAGCCAGGGAGCTAAGAGGACAGGAGGGAGCAAGGCCATCCTCTTGCAGTGTCCCTCTCTGCTCTGTCTTGCCAAGCACCTGTCCCAGTTCACTGTGCCTGTCTTCCACTGCTTTGTGAGGGGCAGGGCAGGGCAGGGCAGGGCAGGGCAGGGGGGCTTGCTACCCGCCTAGAGGCTCCTGGCTCAGTCAGTGTTCCTGAGGTGACCAGGGCTGCATCTTCAACTCTGTGCAGGTGGACATCGAGCAGCTGGATCCCCGTGGTCGGACCCCTCTGCACCTGGCTACCACGCTGGGGCACCTCGAGTGTGCCCGGGTGCTCCTGGCGCACGGCGCAGACGTGGGCAGGGAGAATCGCAGTGGCTGGACAGGTGAGCAGCCCTTCTCACCCCGGCCCCCTGGCGGGGTCTCCTCAGCATCACACGCTCAGCTCTGGTCGGCTGGAGGGTCCTGCCCTGTGACACGGCCTCCCCCCTCCCCAGTGCTTCAGGAGGCTGTGAGTACCCGGGACCTGGAGCTCGTGCAGCTGGTGCTGCGGTACCGGGACTACCAGCGGGTGGTGAAGCGGCTGGCGGGCATCCCCGTGCTCCTGGAGAAGCTGCGCAAGGTGAGGCCCAGCCTCTCACCTCCCCACAGGAGCCTTTGAGCCCCACTTCCAGTGCCGCCTCAGCCACTGTCCTGTTCACCCTCCAGGCCCAGGACTTCTACGTGGAGATGAAATGGGAGTTCACCAGCTGGGGTAAGGGGCCGCGCGGGGCCCTCTCCGGTCACTCTCCCACCTCAGGGCCTTTGCACTCACTGCCCCCCTTCCCAGAGCTCTTCGCGCGGCTGCTTCTCACCTCCGAGCTCACGGCTCGACGCTGCCCTCTCAGCTGGGCCTTTTCAGACTGCCCAGACGCCGTCTCGATTCGGGTATCGCTTCCTTGACTCAGTGATGACTGGCGTATTTATTACGTGGTCCTGCTCGCTGGAAGGTGAAGCGCGGAGAGGGCAGGAGGCCTGTCTTGTTCGGCCTCTGCCTGGCACTCTTTAGATGCTCGATAAGTAGTTGTTGGAAGACGAGGTGAGAGTGAGTGAATGAAGTAAACAGTGGATTAGGAACTTAGTGGTGACTGACACGTGCCTGTCCCCAACCTGGTTCTCACAGCTGAGTGCAGGCTCCCTTGGCCTGGGGCGGAGGTGGGACGAGGGGCACCATCAGTTCCCTCAGCCTTTCCTCACCGTGCCCATCCCCTGAGCTGGCCCGGGCTGGGTGGGCTGGGCAAATCCAAGCCACCTCTGACCTCCGCTTCCACCCAGTGCCCCTGGTGTCCAAGATCTGCCCTAGTGACACCTACAAAGTGTGGAAGAGTGGGCAGAACCTGAGGGTGGACACCACACTCCTGGGCTTTGACCACATGACATGGCAGCGAGGGAACCGCAGCTTCGTCTTCAGGGGCCAAGGTCAGGCAGGCAGGAGGTGGGGCAGGGTGGGAGGACAGGAGACAGCCCCGCGCCACCCCTGACCCCCGTGCTATTCCGGCTGGCAGACACGAGCGCTGTGGTCATGGAGATTGACCACGACCGCCGCGTAGTGTATACAGAGACGCTGGCACTGGCTGGGCAGGACCGGGAGCTGCTGCTGGCCGCCGCCCAGCCCACCGAGGAGCAGGTGCTGAGCCGGCTCACTGCGCCTGTCGTCACCACACAGCTCGACACCAAGAACATCTCCTTTGAGAGGTGAGGGGAGTGGCCTGGGCCAGCCTGGAGCCTGTGGGTACCCGCCTCACCTGGGCTGCTCCACTTCCCCAGGAACAAGACTGGCATCCTGGGCTGGCGCAGTGAGAAGACCGAGGTGGTGAACGGGTATGAAGCCAAGGTGAGGCCGTAGCCCCTGGGCCAGGCCCCACACTCGTGCTGGTGGTGAGCTGGGCTGGGCTTTCCTACCACCTTCCCAGGCTGGAGGGGCAGAGGCAGCACCACTGGAGGGAAGGGCATTAGGCCCCCAGGCAGCTGATGGGATGGTAGTCACTGCCCAAGGTCAAGGTGTGGTTCTGATGTTTCGAGCGTGTGTGTGGATGTACACACGCATGCATGCACACACTCCTTTACCCCTCACAACCCCCCTTTTAGGTAGGGGCCATTATTCCCATTCTGTGGATGTTTATTGAGCCCTTTCCATGGCACCCCATTTAATCTTCACAACACCTCCACAAAGCAGAGTTATTGGACCATTTATGATGAGGCAATGGAGGCTCGGAGTGGCTCAGTGGCCTGTCCACGGTCACACAGCTGGGAGCGGAGGAGCTGGGGTTAGACCATGGATGCTTGGTTCCGAAGCCAGGCCTATACCTTGAAGCCTCAAGGACCCCCACCTTGGCCAGCTGCTGATGAAGGAACTGGCAAATACTGCAAGGTTCTTTATCTGTTGTTTCTTCCTGGGAGACTCCTCCTCTGGGAGGCCTTCCCTGGTTCTGCAGCTGGGTTAAGGTGGCTCTGCTGTCCCACTGAAGTGTGTGTCCCACTGAACAGTCACTGTCCATTTTCTTGGTTTTCTGACTCACGAGGTGGCATCATTGCTGGTGTGTTCACCACTATGTCCCTCGTGGGACGCACCCCTAGGTACCTAGCACGCGAGGGCTCCTCAAAAAATAGTGGTCGAAGGAGTGAGTGAATAACTCATCTATTTGATTGCTCAGGGGCCTGGGGCCTGGAGCTGAGTCCCTCAAGGACCTGTTATTGCAGAATGCCCTTGGGAGCTGGGCATGGGAGGACCAGAGCTGTCTCTCAGCCCCTTCTTCATCCGTCACAGGTATATGGGGCGTCCAATGTGGAGCTCATCACTCGGACCCGCACAGAGCACCTTTCTGAACAGCACAAAGGCAAGGTCAAAGGTAACGAGGCAGAGTGGGGGGCGGAACCAGCTCCCGCTTCAGCACCTCCATCAGTATTAATCTGGCATCCTAGCGAGAGCCAGGATGGTTTATTCTGGCAAATGGATTCCCGTCAAGTGCCAGGCTGCTGATGGTAAGGATTGGTAGCAGCTGCCTAGAGCGCTGCTAAGGAGATTCCAAGGGCTCATTTGGGCTCTTCGGAAAAGCACGCTGCAACTGGCTGCTCGTATGGCGTTCGATTTGGGAAGGGGAGGAGCGTCACGTATGCCCTCCATGGGCGGTGATTGTCTAGTGGCACAGACCCTAGGTAGAAGGCCAGGGGACTCTGCCGCTGACTCTTTGCACCAGTTCACACCACACCTAATGCTCTGGGCATCAGTTATCCTGTCCGAAGTGGAAAGACATAATCCCTACCTCAAAAGGGAACAAAACGGAGGTATTGAAATGGGAACACCTGGGCCAGCCATGACATGGTGATCAAGACAGCTGGATCCCACATGGCCGACTACATGATTTGAGTCCTGGACCCAGCGGCTTGAAAACCACGCCAGGCATGTGCACGTGTGTGCCTAAAATCTGGAGAAGAGAATGGAAGAGAAGGGATTGTGGGGTGGCCATCCCCTGGGGTGGGGGGTGGGGCTGATTTCTCACTTTGCTCCTCTCTCTATCTCTCTCTGTTCCTCTCTGGCAAATGCATGTTCCCTATGACAAAACTAAAACAATAATAATATGGAACTGCCTGACAGAAAACCTGCACGATACTCATGCTTACCCTAAAACTGCTCACTGGAGGCAGGTATTTTATCACCCAACCTGGAGAGTGGCACCTTGGGAGTCTCTCCTGAGTCCTAGGCCTGCTTTTATTCCAGCTGTGCTTGCAGCGGCCCCTCCCCTTGGAGTCCTCGGTCACCTTCAGATGAGGTGCCTGGGTATGTCCCACCCAGGAACCGGCCACCTTAGGTCTCGGGTGCTGTCACTTCCCATGAGGTGCCCAAGTGTGTGTGGGGCTGTGGTGTCCTCTGAGATGCCACATTTCTTGTAGGCTGTAAGACGCCTCTGCAGTCCTTCCTGGGAATTGCTGAGCAGCATGGGGGCCCCCAAAATGGGGTGAGTGTGTGCCGGGTGCCCTTGTGTGGAGGGGTGTGGCTGTGACTCAGGAGGAGGGGTGTCCTGCTTAGAATGGCCTATGTGGACCATGTTCCCACAATGCCCACTACCATGGCAGCCCCACGCTGGTGGGGGGACAGTCCGGGGCCCCGCGGTGCCAAACAATTGGCCTGGCATCAGGGACTGAGAAGGCTCCTGGGCTCCTCCCCGTGTGGTGCAGACCCTGATCACTCAGACTCTGAGCCAAGCCAACCCCACTGCCATCACTGCAGAAGAATACTTCAACCCCAACTTTGAGCTTGGCAACCGTGACATGGGCCGCCCCATGGAACTGACTACCAAGACACAGAAGTGAGGCCTCTGCTGGTGCTGGGGAGGGCTGGGCAGGGGTGGGGCTGCGGCTTCCTGCTTTGTCCCTCACCCCTTGGGATCTGGGGGGAGCAGGTTCAAGGCCAAGCTGTGGCTGTGCGAGGAGCATCCCCTGTCCCTGTGTGAGCAGGTGGCCCCCATCATTGACCTCATGGCGGTCAGCAATGCGCTTTTTGCCAAGCTCCGGGACTTCATCACCCTGCGCCTGCCTCCTGGCTTCCCAGTCAAGATTGGTGAGAATCCCCCGCCTTTCCCCCTCAGGCCCTGGGGGATGGGTTTATGAGGTAAAGGGTGGGTGTGGGGGTGGGTGGTGGCGCCTGATAGTTTCCTCATTCTCAGAAATCCCGATCTTCCACATTCTCAATGCCCGCATCACCTTTGGGAACCTCAATGGCTGCGACGAGCCGGTGCCATCGGTGCGAGGCAGCCCCCGCAGCGAGACCCCCTCCCCCGGCCGC